TTCAAGTGGAGGGGATGTGGCCAGGCCCCAGCCTACGCTCTGCCTGGGTCGGGGAGGAAGGTAGTAGCATTGAATCATAAAAGATTGAACAAGAATAGTTCTTTCTCTAAAACAGTATAGATTGAAAATTATAAACACAGCCTAGGAGGTGTGCTCACTTACTCTTCCTGGTGTCCCTGAGGCCTTGGGGATTTGCAGTCCAGCATCAGAGCAGCAAGACTCCACAAGGTTGCTGCTTCCTGCTTCCAGGTGCCTCTGGGATTTGTAGTCCACAGTTGCAGACAGCACTAATTAAGCCTGCTGCTCCATACTTCTTGGAAGGTGAGTTTAACCCCTCCTCCCTGGCCCAACCCACAGACCCCAGCCAAGCTTTGCCTTGAGGGGAGGGAAGCAGTGAGCTGGCCAGTGAGCCTGCTAGCAAGCAGAGAGGTAGAACCAATTGTGCTCTCTGGAGCAGACAGCCCAGCCCAGCCCAGGGCTGCAAAGCATGCTGGGATGCTGGGGGGCTCTGATTTAATTTGAATCAGGAAGGGGTCTGAGACAGAAGTTTCATAAGCCGGTTTGACCGAAATCAGTTAAGTCTAATACTACATTCAACCTGGTTTAAATTAAACCTGTTTCACCCATTTTGAAGCTGGTTTATGTGCACTGAACTTATGTTCAGTTACAGGTTTAAACCAGTTTCTGATCACTTAAACCGACATATGTGTAACATCTGTCCCTAGCCTTGAAGTTTAAGGGTGTTTATACATGTGCTCCAGGACTGGGGGAGAGGAGGATGCTTTAATTAGAGTGACTCTGAGAGCCACTCTAATTAAAGGGCCTGGAATGTCTATGTATCAGAGTCTCCACACTTAAAATGAACTATGGATAAAGCGCCTGTATTGAATGAGCTTTATATAAAGTGGCTCCACTTCCTTTTTTAAGCATGGGGATGCTGATACAGAAGATGCTGGAATCTGCTAGAGCACGATAATTACCACACTCCAACAGACTAGATTAATCAGTTTCCCTGACTCCTGTACCTGCACACATTTGAGGAAGTGGAGATTCATCACATGACTGTCACATGATTGAAACCACGTATTTTCCTCCTGTTTTATTGTTGAACAGCTGAATCACAGCACTTTCACCACTGTGAATCTATGACACATTACTTTATTGGAGGTTGTTCATTTTTCATTGTTGATTTATCTGTTTCAAAGCAAATGAACATCTGAGGTTCTAAAGATTGTCGTCACCTTCCTGTTACTGTTCAAACAAACTATATGCTTTTAATCCAGGGCATTGGTTCAATGGTCCTCCATCATGGGACTAATTAATCATAGGAATTTAGATGTTAAGAAAAAAATGGGCAATTGCAAATCTGGAACAGTGAGGGGATCAGGAACTATGATTTTTGAGTGTATGGCAGAGGAAAACAGGAAAAATGCTATAGGGCTGCTGTTCCTAGTTCCTGGCCTAATTCACCAAGATTACTTGCCATAAGGTACCACTTGAGTAATGCAAAAGAAAAGCACACAGATATGATGGGAAATGTAAGCAGCTGACTCCTTTATGTGGCAGTAAACTAAGGTAATCTATCCCCATCCACTAATGTTTATAAACATATTGTAAACAAGCATAAATGAACAGCTCATCTCTCTGGGGGGAACAGATGCATCCTTAATACTGATTAAGTGTTTTGTTCTGCCTGAGTGTCTGGCAGAGGTTTATGCTCCTAAGCAGAGGGAGGGAGATGGAATAACGACAGTCTCATATTCTCCTGGCTCTTTAACTGCTTTGGGGGATTCAGAAGGCATTATAGCATGTATAATTCTACTGATGATCACTTGCCACAACACCACATGACATGGGCTTCATTTCAGATATCAGGGCTTTAGACCTGCTACCCGTTTCCTTTCTGCAGTGAAAATCAGAATGAAAGGTCCACAAGCAAAAACAAAAAATGAGAAGGGGCTGGCTCTACCAGTAGCATTTATGGCCACATCCAGATGAACAGGGGCATGTGCTTGCAGCGGCAGAAATAATAGCACAAATTTGTGCCATAGCACATGTCCCTGCATGTGCACTTTTTTGCAGAACACATTGTCCTGCAGAGGTAAACACTCCTTGCCCATCTGCTTCTGGCACTTCAGCCAGGGAGAGTGTAACAGAGGACCATTACCATTCCCTGTTTCAAGCATAGAAAAGCAATGGAGGAACCCTCACCAGAGGCAAATCTGTCGCAATGCTTCCATGTCTGATGACATTAGGCGCTAACAGGGATTTCAGAAACACAAGGGTCTGCCACAGGAGCCATTACTGATTGATCCTGCGAGCTAGACAACTGCCAGGGAGTGCTAGTGCCCTTGGAGAGGGGACACAGGAGCAGCTGAAGCAAACTGCGCTGAATCTACATGGAGGCATGGAGACCTAGAGCAGACAAAAGAGAAACACCAGCAGTATGAGAAAAGCCATGATGGACGTTGACAAGTGGGCACCTGTGGTGAGTCCTCTGGGGGCAAACAGTGAACCTTGGGAGGAATGACGAGAAAAGGCTGAGGGCCCCAGCTAGAAGTCTGTGTGAAAACGCTCAAGTGAGTAGAGACTGTGATAAGCAGAGCCCAAGCAGAGAAGGCTCTATAATAGTGGTTGTAGGAGCAAACATGGAGGTCGAGGGATAAAGACACCACCTGGAAAAAGTACTGAGAGGCGGAACCAGCCTGCTGAGGAAGTAAGCTGGGCAAACTTTCTTGTATCTGAAGAGGAAGCCATTTGGACAACTGGACACAAGTTGGGCATGGACAGTGTAGAAGGGGCGGCAGAGTGCTGTGGCAGAGACTGGAGCACAAGACATCTGTTATCACACTGTTTGCTGTCAATCCCCTTTTGCAGCAGGGTAGGTCCTATGAGGAAAGGTTGCGGGACCTGAACCTGTTCAGCATTCAAAAGAGAAGGCTGAGGGGGGATCTTGTGGCCTGTTATAAACTGGTTAGGGGGGATCAGCAGGTGCTGGGGGAGTCCCTGTTCCCC